AAGTTTTTTTTTTTTTTTTTTTTTTTTTTTTTTTTTGCAGATAGTTACACGAGTCAGACATCGAGCATTGCTGAAAGTATTGAGGAACAGAGTGGCCTGGAAAGTGGCAGTGGTGAAAAAACACCAACTTATGAGCATGCTGATTCGGATTTTCGGGAAAACAAGAACGGAGGAAGGAGTTATTTGGATGAAGAACTTCCCATTATCATCAGAGGTCGGGATTTTGCATGTCTGATGAAGCGCAGGAAAATAGCTGCGGCCGTATGCGGAGGATTAAGCCCCTCCTTCCCCCTACCCTCCTCCCTCCCTTTCTGTTATTTTTGAACGCATTTCCTGTCATGGCATAGATTTTGTTTAATTTGCTCTCGTCAGCTGTTCCTTCACTGTCATGCAGCTCATCACCCTTTGGGGATTTGACAACTGCTTCTGCTTCTTTTCTCTTTTTAGCTTCTTTCGAGCTTTTCGCATCTACGAAGCTCTATTAGGGGGTCCTTTTACCACGCCCCTTGCTTTCTCATTGTTCGTTCAACGTGCTTGGGTACCTTCAGTAATAATCTGCTTTGTCCATTTGTTGTCTTATTCTTTCTCTCTGATCAGTTCATCATTGTATACACTGCCTTGATAACATCGCTTTACCCAGTACGGCCATCATAAAATTACGTATGAGCGAAAAATATACCACTCTCAGGTTATTTGAGCTAACCTATATTGTTTACGCGTGGTTTCGCTTTATTTTGTTTTGTTTTTTTCTGGAAGTCCTGAAATTTCAGAGATTTAAAAACTTTTAAAAAATATATTTTTACAGCTGGAGTCATCAGTTTTTCTCATTATTTTATTATTGTTTCCAGGTTCAAGATTAGTTTCTAAACTGCTCGTTTTTCCTCTTTTTCATGAATGCTGTGGTACTTTTATGAACATTGTGGAACGGAGCGGTAAATGATATCATTGAAATTGCCTTACAGATCATGGGCGAATTCGCGCTCCATCGAGTCGTGATAGCGCAGCAAATAGTTGTGCTAACGCTGATGATCGTGGACGAAATAGACGCAGAAATCGCTGGCGAACGAGGTACGCTTTGGTTTTGGAGCTATTTTTCTCTTATTTCAGGCTTATTAGTATTAGTCTTTATTTATTTTATAAGGAATGCGAAAATTTTAGTAGTTTTGGCTATTTTTATTCAGTTTTTTTTTTCAAAGATGGAAAGTTGTTAGGGGAATTGCATTTTAAGTCTGTGAAACTGTTTATGATTTTATTGAAAAAGTCAAAAATTCCAGAAAACAACGAGATTTGAGAGGAACTGTGACAGAGGCGAGTGGCACTACATCTGCAACATTTTCCGCTTCTCAGGCTGCCAAAAATATAAATAACGATTTGAGGTTTTCTTTTTTTTTTTCAAATATGTTGCCGATGCACTGGACTAAGTGATAACTAAAATTTGGCATATGCGTGTCATATACATGGGATGCAGAAGGCTGTACTGATGATTCCCACTTCTACTCGCACGAAATATTCGATCTGTGTTTACAGCTGAGGAATGAAAAGCTGTTAACATGGGCCCCCTTTGCACATTATGCTTATACTGGACTCTTATTCTCTATTCTGTTACTTGTGGGCTCCCTTTGTTTAAGCCTATTGTAGCATCCAGGTTGACTCTGGAAGCCGAAATGTCGTAAGCGCATTTAAATACAGAGAGCAGGAGCAGTATGAGAAAAGAAGGCAGAAGTGAGATAAGGCGTTTCGGTCCATTAAGTCATATACGTCATGGGATGTTGAGAAAATTTATAGCATTTATCTTGTCAGAAACAAGTTAGTGATATTTTCTTTTATGAAGTACTGCTATTACAAATAAACATGAATAGGGGATGATATAGTGAGTTACACAGTATATTTTGAGTCCCTGAACTGTTCGACGTAGTTACTGTCTGTGTGATATCGTTTTTTGCTTTTCTGATTTCCTTGTTTTTTATGCGTTTTGTGCTGTGTAACAGCAGTACAAAACGCATATT